TCCAGTCCAGTCCAGTCCAGTCCAGTCCAGTCTAGTTCAGTCCAGTCCAGTCTAGTTTAGTCCAGTCTAGTTCAGTCCAGTCCAGTCTAGTTCAGTCCAGTCCAGTCTAGTTTAGTCCAGTCCAGTCTAGTTAAGTCCAGTCCCCCAGCCCCTCCCAGCCTGGTCTGCTGGCCTGAGCCCCCGGAGGTCAGCAGGTAAGGGCTCACCTGGAATCCGGGGGCACAGAGGCAGGCCCCGCTCACACTGTGGCAGTCGGCCCCGTTCTGGCACCGGCAGACCTCCTTACAGGCCTCCCCGAAAAACCCCGGGGGGCAGGTCTCGTTGCAGTAGAGGCCGGACCAGCCGGGCCGGCACGTGCACTCCCCCGACATCGGGTGGCAGCTGAGGAGGACACGGTGGGAGGAGGTCACACAGAAGATAAGGCCTCACAGGGCGGGCCCCCTAAGGCCACCACACCAAGACACCCCTCCCCAGGATGATGATGATGATGATGTGGGAGTTTTCATCAGCTCAGAGAGCTTTCCTCTGACTCAGCACAGCGGCTCCTCACGGGTCCTGGGTCTCCCTCTGGGCCTCCTACCAGGTCCTAGGTCTTCTTCTGGGTCTCCTCCCAGGTTCTGGGCCTCCTTTCAGGTCCTGGGTCTCCCTCTGACCCCCCCCGGATGGCATTCTCGCCCTAACGTCTCAGCAGTCTGACCTTAAGGCAACAGGTCAGCCGTGGTGGTGGGAGACGCTGATCAGTCCAGGGACAGACAGCCCTCCATCATTAGAGAGAGCAGGGGACCTGTTAAAACTGCATTTAGGTTCAGGGGTTGAGTTCAAAGACAGGGGGGGAACGAGGCCTTTGAGGCGGTTTCCTCTGGGACCCCCCTGTAGGTGCTGACTGGACCCCAGCATGTGGTGGCAGTATCTGTAGGTCCTGTCCGCTAACAGGCAGGGTTTGTGTGCAGGGACGCAGGTGGAGGCCGGCTGTGCCCCCCCCCCCCCCCCGGGCCACAGCAGCCCCATTCAGGAGCCCGAGCAGCTGCTCAACAGCCAGCGGCCCGGGCTGAGCGGCAGCTGTCAGAGGCCCCTGAACAGCTTCATAGCCCAGAGAACACGCTTTAGACCCCAAAACAGTTTAACCCCCCCCCCAGACAGTTTAAAAGCATAAAAAACTGCTGTAAAGCCCCCAAAACAGCTTTAAAAGCCCCAAAAACAGCTGCAGCCCTGGGGGGGGCGGGCACCTACCTGCGGGTGTTGGGGGCGTGGCAGGGGCACTTCCTGTCGCAGCGCAGGCCGTAGAGGCCTTCAGGGCACAGTGGGACGTCGCAGGCCTCCCCGCTGAAGCCGGCCTCGCACACACACGCCCCGCTGGCCGGGCAGCACTGGCTGTGGTCCCCACAGCGGCAGGCCTGCGCGCAGCCCGCCCCAAAGGTCCCCACCGGACACTCCTCCTGACACCTGCACACACGGGGGGGCAGCTCAGGGACCGGACCGGGAGAGAGGCCTGCATCTGGATGGATCTCTAACCCAGTGGTCGCCCCCCCGACCCCCCCCACAGTACCGGTCCGTGGGTAGTAGTAGTAGTAGTAGTAGTGGTAGTAATAATGAATTAACCCTAACCCCAACCCAAGTAATAATGAATTGGTTCCTTTGTATTTATTCTCCGAGTCTGAATAATCTTTTACTTCATTAAATCTTTTATTTTGAAAAATGTCCGGATCCTCTGGGTTACTTCTCGGTCACCTGAGCGCCCAAAATGTACCCCTCAAGTTTGAAAAATGAGTAAAAACAGAGGTGTTTGGAAAGTTTCTTTAGAAGGGAAAAGGCCCAAAGAAGAGACTCCAGAAAATAAAAGCTTTACCAGACCAAACCAGGAGTTCTACTGGACACATGGACCTGTTCCCACAGACCCAGAACACTCTGAGTCCTTTAGACAGAATCTAGATGCAGAATATATGCGGCCAGCGGCTCTCTGATGAGGACACCAAGCTTCAGACAGCTTCACATCCCCATTAAGAGACCAGACCCCGGAGGCTTTAGAAAGGAAAAGAAAGCTGGGTACCAGCACACACTGGTGGATTCACCTCCATTATTATATTCACTATATAAACGAACCAGTCCAGCCAGCTGCTCTCTGCTGGGTGTCAGTTTTCTTTCTGCTCAGATATGAAATGATTCCATCCTTTAGATGAGAACTGCTAGAAAGACGTTCTTCACCTCAGAGGATCTTTAGACGTCCAGCACAAGGCTGAACCTCTGAACCTGAGCAGAGGCAGCCAGAGCTCTCACCCAGCTGTGACCAACATCTGTTCAGTGAACATCTGTTTAGAGAACATCTGTGTAGAGAACATCTGTTTAGAGA